ATGACAAAGGACCTTCCTGCAGACTAGAAAATCCATATCTTGTAAAATGCAGTATTATTTATTTGCATCTCTGAATGTGAATCCATGCATTCTTTGGCCCAGCTACTGCTAATGGGGACAGCCGATGCCTCCTTCAGGGGAGAAACATGTCTTAGACAATACGGTAGCTGCTACTGCAGGAACTTCTCAGGAAGCACTGATGTAGCTGCAGGACTCCCTTCCATTCCCAAGCAAGTTCCTGGAGGAGCCAGCTCCAAGCTCACCTCATGGAAGCTCATCTCCTAGGCCCAGCACAATCTGAGGAACCACGTGGTACTGCAGGATGAGATCCAGCTCTTAATGCACAGAGGGGACATAGCCAGCCACCTACTCTGAACCTGTATGCTGGTCCTTAGGCTATCTGTAGTGCTGTGACACATGGGATCTCTAAGGTGGTCTGCTGTTTGGAAGGGATACCTTTTCTTCAGGACTGAAGGGTGTCTGAGCATTCACACCAGTTGTCTGACCTGGGGAATGCAATGACCTATTAGCCTAAGAGGGTGGATTTGGCACAAATTGAAGATAAAGAAGAGCAGAACAGATTGTAAAGGTATATATGCTGGGCATGGAGGTGTAATACCGTTCATTAAAATATCACATTGGCTGGACAACTCTGCTTTTAACTTTTGTTTCTTTAACATGTGAAGTATTTTGGACTGTATTTCATCCTGGCAGAGTGTGAAATCCTTGGAGGTGCTTTTCAATTGATATATTTATTAGACATAAGGGAACATACTGTCTGGATTAGTCATGGATTTTGAAACTGAAGCAAAGCACATTATAGCTCAAAGAGAGAACTTTAGAGAAAGCTAACTTTAGAGAACTTGTCTTTAAAAAACATATTCTAGTTCATACTTCATAAAAGTCTAAGTTGTTTTTAAAATAAGACTTATTCCAAAGTATTTGTTTACTTGCATTTGGTACTCATAATCTAATTCAAAAAAATACTCTCTCCTATATAAAATTAAATTCTGATGTAAATATATATTAGATATAGCTACACATATCCACACCTGTGTGTTTTGGTTGTGTGTGTGTATATACAACTTCATGCCACAAACAAAGTGTTCCTTTTGTTTAAATGTATTGATGCCTACAGTAAATGAAGTCATTAAGGAGTTTATTAAAAGGACTTCAAATGACTGTGTGAGAATCTTATTATTAATGATTGTTTCAGGGATAAGATGTTAAGAAAATGAAAATGCCATATGCTACTGAGCCTCTCCTAAGCCCACAGTGTTTGGAGGAGAGGGCTACAAATATTAAGCACCCAAACACAGTGTTGCTGATACCCAAGATCTGGGCTCTGAGGTCAGATTTAATTACCAAGACAAGGTGGTTTTCTGAGGTCAGCAAAGCCATGCAAGACTTTTAGCTCTGCTTGCACCATGTAAGAACCTGGTGTATTTCCAGTTCTTGTTCTGAAGGAGCCTTTACTAGGATGATATAACATTTTGTGCGGAAAAATCTCGCTGTCAAGAACTGAATGTCCAAAAAGGAGACAGAGGAGTCCTAAAACTTTATTCGAATAAAGGGAGAGTCCACCGGGCATATCCCTGTGGGGTCTCTCAAATTGCTGGGGGACGCAGCCCCCCTTTTATCCTAATTTCCCGACCGAGGGACGCCCTCTCCTTTTCCCCATTGGCCAAGGTACTCAGAAGTTACAGCCTTCCCAGCCTGCCTACACCGAACTCCGGCCTCCCGCCATCTGTTCTCACCTGAGCTCACCAACTCCTTTGTCCCCCTTGCTGAAGAATGTGGGGGAATTGCCCTATTTCCCTCCTTTGTAAAGGCCCCCATCTCGTTGCAGATGGCTCTTTTTGTCCCACTCGGCTCATGGCTCCACTCAGTCTCCCCTCCCTTTGTCCTGCTCTTCAGCCAGACTGTGGAGAAACCCCCTTATTGATGAATACAGAAACTTGAGCATTCCGCTCAATTTATAACCTTCCAGACTGGCTGCCGCGAAGGTTAAGGCTCCGTATTTATCTACAGAGATGCTGTACAGCACAGCTCTCTGCACTGCGTTTTTTCTGTCCTGCCTCCTCCAAATGTGTCAGCTGTGATACAGAGGCATAGATTAAAATAAGGAGGAATGGCAGGAAAGGAGGTGTAAAGCCAAGGAGCACATTTCCTCGCTGCACTGAAGCAGAGAGCAGATCCTTGCAGCCTGCCTGGCTCGGCAGCAACCCCCGTCCTGCCTCTGGGCAGGGAGGGCTCTCCAATTCTCAGTTTTTGGAAGGACAAACAGTGTAGGTACAGCAGCAGAGGGCTCCAGCTCCAGAGAGGTACTGGTAGACGCAGCCACATGCTCAGTGTAATCCCATGGATCCTGCCCTTGCTCTGTGGGAACAGCACGTCTCACCAGGAATGTGTGGCCAGCACAACTGAACTTTTTGGAAAAGCAGCTGTGTACTGAAGCGAACAGGAACATGTTGAGCAGAATGCTCAAGTGCTGGGGTGTTGTGAATGCTGCTCTTTACTTGGGTAGAAATTTGAGTGTATGGGTGGCTAGGAAGGCCTTCAACTTTCATATTTGGACAAAACGTTGGCTATGTTATGGTCATGTTTAGCAGGGTTTTGTGCAGTGCTGTTTTTTTTTTTTTTTAAAAAAAAGGGGACACACACACACATATAACAGCATTCTGTGATGTGCTAGAAAGCTATGTTGCTATGTCTCCCTCTCCCAGGTTTAAACTCTGGGCATATCAAGGCACAGTCCGTTTATTCTGCTGTTTGTGGCTTTCTTAAATCCGATTCACTGGACTTTTGTTGCCATTGCTGCTACAGACTTGCTGAATGATGGTGATCATTTTGCTTCCCTGAGCAAAACTGGCTAATATGTATTTATAAGAGTCAATCTCCAATGTTATTTATTTAGCATTAGGTAATATTTTTTTTCCTCTCTAAAGATGCACTGCATCTGTGTTTTTTCTGTCCTGCCTCCTCCACATGTGTCAGTTATGATACCGAGGCATAGGTTAAAATGAGGAGGTATGGTACGACCCTAAATTCTTCCTGTTCTCTTATGAAATAGAGCAATAAGCCCATAGTGTGTGGTGACTATAGACAGATAGTTTGGTTTAATGTGCTGTGCCTTCAGCCAGTGATCAGGAGACCAGTTTTATTTGAGTCTGACATTGTTCTGTGTGAATGGCAAAAGCTCTTTTGCAAAGCTGGCTTAAAGTGAGGAAATGTAAATTCCTCCTAACCCATTTCTTTCTTTACATTGGAATTGAAAATCAATTAGACTTAAGCACCTAAATCTCTTAAATTGATGGCCATGCTCTGTCTCTAAGCAGAGTAGCTCTGGTAATGGGAGCAATCTAACTACAGTAGCACCGTGCTCCACACAAGCTAATTTGTCATGTTCTGTGGTACATACAGAGCAGTGTCCATATAGTCTTGCACGTGTATTTTTGGTGAACTGCTTTTGAAAATCCCACTGTTAAATACTCAGATTACAAGGAGAATGGGAAATTCTGAAGTAGAGGTGAATATTGTGGTTATTTTACTGATTATCATGGTGATGCTTACAGGCCCTACGTGAAAGCGCACAAGTTGATTCTGATGCTAACAGCATCTATTCCCTATTTTTCTCTTCTAAATATTTGATAGTACTACAAGAAAGTAAAATTAATATTAATTATGAAAAAATATTTTTTTAATTTAAAGAAAATGCACCTAACCCAATGTTTCAGTAAATGTTAATGAAAATTTGAAAAGGGAATATCTTGTATATGACAGTAGTGGAGAAAAAAACTGCAGTTCATTTTGTCTATAGTACTTCATCAGTACTATACCTCTCAGGATTCACAGGCATTCCTAGAAATGACAGAATTAAGATTGGAGAAGTTATTCAAAAGAAGTAGCACCATCTTCTGTTGAAGCAACAATGGAATATAATATTGCAATGTTAATATTAGAAATAACATTATTTCTAAAAAAAAAAAATTGTTCAAAGCAATGTTACAATTTCGTGAAACTGTTTTTATATTAGTAAATAAAAAATGGAAGTAATCTTCTTCTAGCTACAATATTTTTAATACCATCTGTTAAATGATGCTGATATTTGACTAAGATTTTTCAAACTATTTTTAAAGAAGGTTTTGAGATGAATTTGACAACTGAACTTCTAGTTTCCATATTTGTGCACTTTATAACTGTGGGGGCTAGACTTGCATTATTTTAAGCAGGAACTCTTAATATAATTACATAAAATGAAGAACAGTTGCCTTATGAAATGCATCAGATAAAAACCAAGATGAAATCACAAAAATTGGGATGCTGACAATCTCTTAGTTTTTAAAATAAGCACAGATTACTTTTCGTATTTATTAATGTTGTAATTCTTGTGAAGAATAATGCCATAGGGCGAGTAGAGAAGTAATAGAAAATAATTTATTGTTTCTGCAAGCAAATGTTGACGTTTCCGAGGATATGCTTGTCCTCCATGCAGGTGTTCCTCTCCTATATTATTATGTAACAGAAAAGCATTTGTTCTTGTTTATTTTAAAGATGTCATCTTTATATAGGATTAAAGGATTGGCTTGCAGGTGAAGTGTATAAGAAGTTTACAGACCTCTTGGAAAATGTGCAGTTTAATGAAAAACTGAGTGGCTGATGTGTCATATAGCATACACCATCTTCTAGCTGAGGCTGAACTGCTTTTTCATCTTGGTATATCAATGATTAAAGCAGTACAAAATGCTTTTTAAAAACACAGAATATTATATCATAATCTAAAATACTTGCAATAGAAGGAAATTATTTACTTAAAAGAATTGATCCTTGGTTATGTTTTTCATTAAGGCAAAATTTTAATTCAGAACTAATAATTTAAATTAATATAACTACACATTCACAAACAAATGTATATACCTATAGTTTTAGATATTGCAAAGACCCAATTAAAGCAATTATGTCAGTAATAAAATTTATTTTCCCCTTTTATGAATTTTTAGAAATCATCTGTACAGACCACTGGTGAAGAACAAATACAGAATCCTTACACAGAGCTCCTTGTATTGAAAGGTCATCAAGATATAGTACGATTTCTAGTGCAAATAGATGAATACAGGTATGAAACTGTATTTCTAAGCTTCAGAGCATCCTTGGGAACATTTCTGTGACTGTTTATAAAAATGTAGAAATATTTTTTTATGCTTTTTTTTCTTTCTGCCAGAACCTGAGGGAACATAGTTAAAAAATCCAAATTCTGAACATTTTGTTTGTTTTGTTTTTTTTTTTGGGGAGAGGATGGGGGCTAGGAAAAGAGGCTGAGTGTAAAAAGGAAAGGAGTAAAAGCCCTCTTTTTGCAGTATGTTTTTAATTCTTTTGACATCTCTCATGAGTTATACTTTTATGAGAAAACAGTTGATGGAGTGAAGTTTCTTGATACAAATTCATTTAACTACAAGAAATGCCTTCAGCTAATTCACTCCTTTTCTGGCTTCTGTGCTGAATGGATTTGTGTGTTCTATGTTTTTGATTTAAGGGTAACTTATTTTACCTTTTGATTTTGCAGAAGAACTTAATAGACTCCTGCAGATACTGTGAATGTGTGTATATAAATGTGTGTGTGTATGTGTGTGTATATAAATGTGTCTGTGTGTGTATGTGTGTGTATATAAATGTGTGTGTGTATATGTGTGTGTGTATATAATTGTGTGTGTGTATATAAATGAGTGTGTGTGTGTATATAAATGGTTGTGTATATGTGTGTGTTTATGTGTATATGTGTGTCTGTGTCTGTGTATATGTGTGTGTATATAAATGTGTGTGTATGTATAAATGTGTGTGTATGTATATGTGTGTATGTGTATATGTGTGTGCGTATGTAAATGTGTGTGTGTGTAAAAAGGTGTGTGTATGTGTATATGTGTGTATATCTGTGTGTGTGTGTGTATGTGTGTGTGTATATATGTGTGTGTATGTAAATGTCTATGTGTGTGTGTGTATGTATATATGTATGTGTCTATAAATGTGTATGTGTGTGTGTGTATATGTGTGTGTATGTAAATGTGTATATGTGTGTGTGTGTATATATGTATATATGTGTGTGTATATAAATGTGTATATCTAATTTCCACAGAAGTCTTCTTGGGGAATATTTAATCTGTTAGTTTTCATTCTTAATGTAAAGCTGCATGCATGCATTTCCATAAAATTTATTTTTGGCACTAATAAAATGCAAATTAATAAAAATAGTCCATCAGAAGATTTGTACAAAAATAGATTGTATATAATATATTTTAGTTCTTTCTCTTTCGGACAAATTATTAAAATAACCTTTCCTCAAAATATTTCTTTCCAAATAAAATAATAAAAGAAATATTCAAATAAATCTTATTGGCCTTTATGGAAATACTAGGGTATTTTTAGAACAGAGGCACATTCTGATGCAAAAAAACCTTTTATTATTCCAGGTTTCAGTGTTCAGGTGCAGATATATTATTGAAGCAAAACTAATATTAATCCATGTAAAACTAAAGCCTGGGCGGTCAGTGTGAGGACAGGCTATAAAATAACATATGGGTAAGGAGTAAGTTATATATCCAGTAAATATTCTGAGAGTTAGAGGAGTTTAATGCAGCAATTCATTGGACATTAATTCCAAGGTTTTATTTATCAAGAATATATTCTATTACTATAGTAGTTTCTGCAGTGTTAAACAGCTGATAATATTTTTCACTTGATTCTTTCCAATAAAATTAGTATTGTTACTCTGCTTTTGAAATATTTGTAGTTAGTTTTTGCAGTCATTCCATTGCGTGCTTTTTGTCAACTGTTGTAAGCCAAGTTTCATGCTTCAGGTCTTTAGATAATATCATCTTATTGAGAATTTTGCAGAAGGATTTTCTTGTTTTCTCAGTGGCGCAGCTAAAACCAGTGAGTGGAAAATTTTCTCAGATTGGTTTTTGAAGATACTAAATAAATCCTGCATAAATGTAACAGAAAGCTGCTTTTTTTCTTCTTTTCTGTTGCATGCTTTGAACATGAAGTGAGAGTCATATTGATTGGAAGATCACCAAAGAAGGCTAAGCCTCAGCAAGAGTCTTCCAAAAAATAAACTGAGATGGAATTGCATGTAATACTCTAGCATTTGACGCATTAAACTAAACCAAGTTCATAGCACATTTTAAGAATAGCTTTCTTTGCTGCTCATTTGACCACTCATTGCTCCTTCAGGAAGCAGGCAGAGTTATAGAGGATGATGGTGATCATGACAAGAAAAGAATCAGGTGACCCATGAAACTCCACATTGGAGAACAAGATACATCTGTAGGATGACTGATTCTACTTTAAACAATTAGTTTTAAACAGGAATCCTGCTTAGAAGAGGAAAAGTAAAAACATAAAACAGCGCTACAACGTCTCTGTTGATGAATTACTCTCATTCCTTCTTCCAAAGATTAGTTTTCTTTTAAGCTTTTGCTCAAGTGGCACACAATTCCAATATAAATTGAAAAATGAATTGGAATTGAAAGGAGTTTTGCTCAATTTTGAAAGTTTTGCTGTTTTAAGTTCTTGACCTCATGAAAAAAACCAAGATAAAATACAACTGAAAGGGAACTAAAGATAAATTAATTTTATCAGAGGTGTGTTTAGATTTTTTTTTTGATGAAAACATCTAAAGCTGGATAACAGAAAATAAAAAGAAGTGATATAACTTTTTCTATTTCATGTCTTCTTTGCAAACAATGCAAATCTAAATTAGTTCCCACCAAATTAACTACATTTACCCTTGGCTAACACCTAAAACAAAAGAAAAAAATAGAAGGCAGGTTTATTTCCAGGTAATAAGTGAAGTCAAACTTCTGTGGAAGGTCCTTCTTCTGTGCTAGGTTCTTTTAACTTGCAGTATGTCTTTACTAGGAAAGCTTGCATCTGTGCTGCAGCATCCATGTAGCTATGATGGTGCTAAGGTTCAAATGTAAGCAGACTGTAACGGATATTCTGACTAGCCGAGGTAAAAGACTGAGTTCAAATCAATCTTGTTAAGATTAGATTAGCAATCCAATAATAATAATAAAAATATTCCCTTGTGTGGTATACTCTTTAGCTGAATTTTTAGTAGAGGTTGTATTTCACACGCACTCCCCCTTTGGGAGTTCTTTTAAGCCACTGTTTAAAATATCCTAATGAACATTGAGTTCCTCTACTCTTGGGCTGAGCTCAGATGAGTAGTTTGTAACTTACTAGGTGTCTTGTAGTCAGTTGGCTCTGACTAATAGAATTTGGTTTCAGAATTTGGTTTCATTCAGTGTATAAGATCTCGTATTAAATTTTTGATCAACAAGAGAATTGATTCTGTAATGAGGGCTTATATTTATAATCGCATATATTGGAATTCTTAAGCCTTGTTCTTTATTAAGTATATGTTGACAAATACCTTCACTTTATAAACTGTAATTGGGATTTTCAAATATATTTTTATTCTTTAGATTAAAGTTAGAGTTTAATATATCTTGTAAATATTTATCCTGCATAACCATCTACTTCCATTATATTACACTATTAACTTTTTCACTTTTTTTTTTTTTTATCAGGTTTGCTTCTGCAGGAGATGATGGAATCATATTTCTGTGGAATGCTCAGGTTCGTTTGCTTTTTGGATAGGTTGTGTGCTCTAACAGGGAGATGGGATAGGAGCCGTCAAGAGGAGACAAAAACTTCTCCTAGCTAAAAAGCAGAATAAACAAGAATTGCTGCATGGATTCCTATCAGCTATTGTTTGCATAATGTAAAAGTGGATTGTGTCAGTCCAGTTTTAACTTACTAAAAAGACCTTGGCAGGTAAAAGTTATGTTGTAAACCTAAGAGAATGATTGATATATATAGAAGAATTTTTTTCTACAGAAATTAGAGATGAAATGCTGACATGAAAAACAGAGTGTGTATGAATTTGACTTTAAATCTTTCTGCGAAATATGTTCAATTTTTGCTGTTAACACTAAAATGCTCACTTCTGACTCCACAGATATGTAGCTAGTTGCTGGTCTCCGCTAGCTACTTTTATTTTAACTATGGTTTAATAACTATATTTCGGATGACTATTTACAGTGTAATTGATTACTCCCAGTGGAGAGCTAACACAAAACTATACTGGAAATGCATCAAAGTCAGTGGAAGTTGGGTGTTTCATGCAGTGCCTTGCTTGCTACGATAAAAATCCAATTTCAGCTTTGGAAAGCCTTTTAATGTGTTAGATTTATCATGGAGATAGAGCTCTGTAAGTGGTATCCTTCATTCTGCTGCCCTGCTCTGTCTCCATATCTTTGAGAAAATTATAGAGAAGTGTGTTAAACCAGCGTTTAGTAGGCTTAGTATGCAAGGTAGATATTAAATAGAAATCTAAAAGGGACATATAGTGTGCTGTCTAAACTAGACATACCAAAAATTCTAGTTGAGGAAGAAAGAGATTTCAGACTTTAAACAGTTACAGAAACATTAAAAAAAAAAAAAGACATTTGTGATGATGCAGTTTTAACATACGGAAGGAGAACTTGCAACTTTTCTTCCTTCTTTTGAGTTCTTACTGTTGTTGAACTTTTATAACCTTCTTATTTGAAAAAGGAAGTAGTTTTTGAATGTTCAAACACATGTATGTGAGTATATATACTTGGTGTTCTAAGCAGTTAATGAATGTAAAACTGATTTAGATGTCCAGTTTAGGAATAGAATTTCATTTTCTACTTCTGTAGGATTATTGCTACCTTTTTGCTAAAGCAAGTCTTCCTTTTTTAATTCAAAAACTTAATCTAGAAGTGCAAAGAGGTATACAGTTACAACTACTCAGTATTTTAATTGCATGTTTGAAAGAAGCAGTGTATTTCTGCATATATGTTTTTCAGGTTTTGTCTAAACAAACAGAGCAGAAGTAGTCAAATTATCTAAACCACCATCTTAAAGCTATAGACAATGTTCATAGAAAATAAAGCTGTCAGAAAGTTGGCAGTATTGTGTTTGCTGTAAGGATAGTTCAAGTTTTACAAATTGCTAAAATAAAAACAGATTTATTCAAGAGAGGGTTTGTTAGCAATTCAGAATTGCCATGATATCAGGTGAATAGGCCTAATGGCCAATATTTCCACTGAAGTGAATTTAATATGCAATTACATTCCTCAGATCTGCCAGAGGTTCTTTTCTTTACACCTAGAATGATACACTTACAGTAAGCCTGTAAGTGATTTTAGAAAGTGAGATTCTAGACTCTTAGAAAATTTTCTTTTTGAAAGTAATTTGGTATCTATGTCAAATGATGCAGTAGGTATATTCTAGATGTTAGCCTTCATTTTTTTTGTGTTTATTTTTCAGATTGGAGAGAAACTTTTTGAACTACATGGATATACACACAAATTACAGCTATTGCACCATTTTTTTCATCACGTGCTTCTGGAGAAAACAATCAATTGATATTAACAGCATCAGCTGATAGAACAGTTATTGTATCCTTAGATCTGGAGAGAGTTCAGCTCTTGTTTGTTGTGTTGTTGTTGCTGTTATTTTTAAAGATAGCAAGATAGCAGTGATGCAGGTTGCAGACTGTTTAAGTTTATTGGATAATAATATCCAGTAGATATAATTGGATTACACTAGGGTTTTGTTAGGCCTTGCTCACAAGTAGATGCAATCTCTACTGTGAAAATCTATAACAAACCATTATGAATATGTCATTTTGGTCAAATATTGAAGAGAAACAAAATTTAGAATATTGTCTTTCTCTGTACTTATTTCTGAATCTGTCATTTAGTTACAAATGTAGCAGTTGTATTTATAATATATAAAATCCTTCTTGGTTTCCTTAATGAATGAAGTCAGGTTTGGGACTGCAGTAGTGGCAAACAGATTCAGAAAGTGTCATGTTTCCATTCTACTGTAAAGGTAAGCAGAGAAACTCTAGGTATGTCTGTTTACTGTATACATAGTATGTTATGTATGACACCTTATATGCCATGGCGAGGATGTTAAAAAGAACAGCAGTGTTCAATTTATTCAAGAACACATAACCTTTAAATGGAAGAGTGGCTGAAAAGCAGACATAATTCTTAAAATATCTCTTTATGGAACTCTGAATATATCTATTTTTTTAGAGGTTGTAGAGCAAAGGTGGTTTTACAGCTTTGTTTGTTAGTGGATTGGAAAGACAATCTAAAGTCAAACTCATTCCTGAATAGTAATAGTATAAAGAAATCTCAGAAAACTTGAGTTTTGCATTGTTGATTGAAAATGGTACTATGTAACATAACATGTAGCACATTTTTGTTCTGTATTTCTCAGGAAAGTGATACCTTAATACTGTATTTTATAATACTTAAAGCCTTAGCTGCCTAAACCTGATGATCATTTTACAGAAAAATTCCCTGTAGAACTTTTGCAGGGGACATATATCTAGTTTTTGTTCTGCAGTGTTTGACAGTTCTTCAAAGACTGGATGTATGGCTGTCTGGAGGGAGTGATCTATGTGTTTGGAACCGAAAATTAGATCTCTTGTATAAGACCAGTCATCTTACTGATGCAGGTAAAAATGTAAATGACTCATTATAGCTGTTAAAGTGCAAGTAAAATGGATCTGTATAATGATGCAAAACCAACTTGGCAAATTCTCTTTAATTCTAATGATAATGTTATATATTAAAGGCACGCTCTATCTATTTTTTTAATGTCAAATTTAATAATTCCAAATTTAAGACTACTTTTAATCTCTTGTGCTATGTGGGTTTTAGAATACGTCAAATCTCAGTAACTGTACATTAACTTGGACTTGCAGGGCTGGCCCTCAGTTAGTGATTTCTACATGTTCATGGTTATGGGGACCAGATCCTGAGGCTGACTTTCTCTCTGAGGGAGCCTTATTTTTTTTTTTTAACTCCTTTAGTAAAGATTAGTGGTGGTAAGGCAGTAAAACTTTCTTTTTATTATTAAACGTCAATGCATTTTATATATTAAATGGATGTTGTCATAGCAATATAATCTCAATATTAATCATACTTTTCTAGTAATAAGCATATGTATTATCCAGC